TGGCCCAAGTTCGATTCCCATCACCCCCATGGCTGTTCACAACTGCCTATAACTCAGGTTCCACGGATTCTCACGCCCTCTTCTGACCTCTTTGGGCACTGCACACACATGGTACACATACATAGATACAGGCAAAATACTCATCCACATTAAAACAACAACAACAACAACAAGTCTTTTAAAGATTTCTCTTTGAGGGTTTGTGTTATCACCCATGGTTTTACCAGTGTGTGTAGGGGGGGGGGGTGGGGAATGAAGCGCATGAACCTGGGTTATGGGTCACTGGTAGAGTTCCTGTCTATCTAGGTACATAATACCTGGCTTCTGTTTCTAGTACTTAAAATAGAGCAAAAGAAAGGAAGGGGGCACCAGAAGGAAGGAGAGAGAAGGAGGGAGGAGGAGGGAGAGGGAAAGAAAAAAAGAAAAGGATGGATGTAGCTCAGAGGTTACAAGCACTGATTCTCTTCTAGAGGTCCTGAGTTCAGTTCCCAGGAACCCGACAGATGCTCACAACCATCTATTATGAGATCTAATGCCCTCTTCTGGGATGCAGGCAGACATTCGGACAGAACACTGCATACATAATAAGTAATCATTAAAAAGGAAAGAAAGGAAAGGCAGAGCCAGATGTCATAGCAAACACCTTTGATCCCAGGACTCAGGAGGCAGAGGCAGGCAGATCTCTGGTAGCTCTAGGGCATCCTAGTCTACCTAGCAAATTCCAGGTCGGCCAGAGCTGTATAGTAGTATCTTTAAGAGAAATCTAAAATCTAAATAGCACATTTTCACTCAAACATAAAAGAGACTATAAAACTTCTTATGTACAGCTTCCACGAAGCCTGGATTCTGCACAGTTCCAAGTAATGTCTTTGGTATTGATGCTGTGTTTGTTACTTAGACTATACCCAGTGTGAAATTAGTCACCACACTGAGTCCAGCTCACTAAGGAACCATGGATGTTTCCTGGTCTTTTCACTCCCATTTAGCTAACTAAGAGTGGCAGTATCTAAATGACAAATCAGAAATGCTGGCTCTTAACACTACGGAAAATTCTGGGTAATGTTTGTGTAATACCCCACTAGAGTTTCTGCTTTAGCCAGCTTGATGGTGAACACCTGTAATCAGTACCAGGTGAGTAAAGATGAGCTGACCCTGACTGAGGCTAGCCTGGGCTACAACAGGAGTTCCAGACCAGTGTGAGCTACATAGCAAGAACTTGCCTCAAAGTGAAGAAAGACAGAAAAAGACACCGAACCTAACTAAATGCAAACCTTCACATTTGCTCTTAATAGCTTTCAAAGATAAACCCGCGCTTCCCTACAAAATGAAGACCAATTGCTTTATTTTGAACTTGATAATCAAATGAATGAAATTCTGATTTCTTTCAGAATATGCCTGGAACACAAAACCTAGCCGAGGCCAGTTTTCAGGACGAACTTACAATCCCACAGCAAAAAATCTCAACATTGTGAACCGCACACAGCCGGTCCCCTCGGTGCACGGGAGGACGGACTGGGTGGCTAAGTATGGAGGCCACCGGTAGGAGAGATGGAAACCCTGAAACATGGCTCCACAGAGGACTACCAAGCCCCCAACCCTGGGAGATGTCTACAGAGTCTATTTCTACTGAGTTCTGCAAGAAACACACCATTGTGGGTACCTCAAGGAGCAGCAGTCAGCTCCAGTTTGCTTCCTTTCCTGGAAATGCAATGTGTTGTCTTTACTCATGGCCACAGCGCTGACAAAGTACCTTGCTGAGGTTTTCGAGCGGGACTTTACAGAGTATTGAATAAACTATTTGCCAAAGTACTAAGTATTTGACCTACACATTACTAGATAAGTGCATAAGCTTTTAAAATTATGACTCTGGGCAGCAAGGGCACCATTTCCCTCTTACTTGCTGACTAATTAGCCTAAGCTATTGAGGTTCTGGTCACTGCAGAGACCTGAGCGGTTTGTCTCTGCTAACGTTTCTTACTGTGAGGCAGGCCCCTGGGCAGACTCGGCCTAGGCTCTGCTCTCACACCTTGGTAATGTCAGAAAGGTGGTAACTACCTTTTGGTTTTCGACATTTGGAAGTATGGGTTGAGTGATGGGGCACACCTTAGCAGCGTATCTTAGCAGGAAATAAACTTCTCTCTAGCCTCTAGGGATTAGCAGTGTGCCGGTCTGATTTTAGCACTGTTGTTGGTCTTTGACTAAACTGAACTCACGATGACCATCAGACTCTGTAGCTGGGTAAGTTCTACATTTATCGCACCAGGGTTCTTGTCATCTCATCATTAAGAACGTTCCGGAAACCATATCTATCTGATGCTTGTTCCTCTGACTCTCCAACTCCTGTTTCTGTGTTCCTACCAGAGACAAAGGTGCCAGCTGGTCCTGGGCAAACTCTCGCTGCTGCAGGTCACTAACTAGGTTCTGACCTCACCTTCCAGCCACCGGGCAAACATGCTCAGCTGCCATGGCAGGGTTCATGTAGTTCATTGTTCTTAGTTTTATTACTAAAGTTTTCTTCATAGATATTTTGAAGGTAGGACTACATTAAACCTGCCAGTTGCTGGGCTGGACATGATTAGTACTGTATATTCTTTTGAAAGAATAATGTTATTGCCTGTTTTTATGTATTTATGGCTTTGTAATAGATGCTCATATAACTGACATCATTTTGTGAGCGTTGCCCAGAGGCACATTATCAAATCATATATTTTTGTATAGAAGACATAGCTGTTCATATTTTACATGTTTAAAATGTTAAACTTGAAATAGTAATTTATCCTAGTCCTGATGGTTACATGTATTTGTACAATTTTATTGTCTCAAAGCTAATAAACATTCCTTGGTGTTTCTGAGAAACATGAACTCTGAATGCATATAGGGTTAACTAGTATGTTTTTCTATTATTAAACTTTATATTCTGTGGTCCATTTTGTTGTGCCTATTTTTTATGTTTTTAATTTATAAACAGCATAGAATATGCTTAGTATCATTATGATCTTTTTGAACGATGTTCCTGTGGCTCTCATTTTCCCATCTTGGCTGCCCTTCCTACCCATTCCTTGTCAGGCCCCATGTGTCCTTCTGCCAACCCTTCCTTATCACCTAACTACCTTCCTGTAGCGCCCGTACTACAATCTGTTCCACTAATCGGGCAAAGGCCTAGAGATTGAAATACGAGACAAGACAGCGCATCATCCGTGCAACAGGAATGCTGAATGCCGAATGCAGTTTATTGAGGGGGAAGGAACGAGCTTATATATTGACTCACAGCACAGTGGAAAACAATCAAGGATCAAGCGTGCAAGCTCTCAAGCTTAGTTCCTCAAATCAAGAAGAGTACCAAGAACTACTCTGGTGCAAGATGGTGGAGATGGTGGTGTGGTAGAATGCTTGCCTAACATGTATGAGCCTCTGGGTTGGATGCTCAGCCGGGCTAAACAAGATCAAAGCAGCACAATGAAATGAAGCAAACAAACAGCATAGGTGTAGAGCTAAGATCTGCCTAGTATGTGCATGGCCCTACATTTTACCTCAGCACCACAAACAATATTTAAGCTGGGAACAGTGCCATACACCTGTAATCCCAGGTACTTGGGAGGCTGAGGCAGGATTACTTGAGCTTAACTGAACACGGCCAGCTTGGGCAAGATTGCATAACCACAATCAAAACAAGTAAATTACTTAAATCTGAATCTCCAGAGAATTGACCCACACTATATACCACTCAACTGTGAATTTTTTATTATTATCTATCTATCTATTTATTATTATTATTATTATACCATGGATTTGGTACAACTATATGTGGAAGGCAAGCACTACAAGAAACTATAAAATCATTTCAGATCTAATTAAAGTCTTTGCACCACAGCAGTCGCTCTACAGTAGGACGAACCAAGTACTGGTGTCTCAGCTGTCATGCTGTCCACAATATAGTACCAAGATCAGTTGCACAAAATTCTGGCCATTATGCTAAATCCTGTAATACCAGTACTCTGAAAATGAAGAATTGTGAGTTCAAGGCCACCCTGGGGTATATATAAAGATCCTGCCTTAAAAAAAAAAAAAAAAAAAAAAAAAAAAGACATATACTGTCCAGGTGGTGGTGGCCCACACCTTTAATTCCAGCACTCAGGAGGCAAAGGCAGGTGGATCTCTGTGAGTTAGAGGCCAGCCTGGTGAACAGATCAAGTTTCAAGGCAGGCTCCAAAGCTACAGAGAAACCTGACTTGGAAAACCAAACCAAAATAATAATAATAATAATAATGAAACAAAAGACAAATTTTATCTGTTATCAACATGGTGCAGATATTAGAAACCATATTTAAGGATGAAATGGATAGGAGACACATCTGTAATCCTAGCACTTGGAAGGTAGAGGCACAGTAGTGAACAGAGGTGGGTACCTCAGGGTACAAGGGGTCTAAGCCTGCTTTCAAGACACTTAAGCACAGATGTGACATTAAGTCCTTGTTTCCAGTAGTTTTGTATGTTTTGGTTATTTGTTTTGGTTTTTTTTTTTTTTTTTTTTTTTTTTTGAGACAGGGTTTCATGTAGCACAGGTTAGCTTCAAACTTACAAAACTATGACCCTGAACTGATGACCCTGCTTCTGTATCCAAGGTACTAGGATTACAGCCACGCCCCACTACATCCAGGTAGTGGGGTTCCACACAGGGTCTCTGTGTAACAGCTCTGGCTGTCCTGGAACTCGATCTGTAGATCAGGCTGGCCTTGAACTCCCCTGACTCTGCCTCCCTAGCACTGGGATTAAAGGTGTGCAACACCACCACCACCACCACCACCACCAGCAGCAGCTCACAAATCATTTTTAAAACAAGCTTCCAGGCAATGTACAGCCAAACAATAACCTTCCTTAGTCATTCCAACGTGAAATCCCTAAGTATGATGTTTACGGGATCCCCTAACAGCGCCACACATCCTGCTATCCACATCTCAGTCTACATCCCAGACACTCCGACAAAGGAAACATCAGAGAAATGATTTTAATAGTAAACTTTATTTCCACTGGTTTTTCATTGTAACATAATTTCATAGCAGACCTATGCAAAAGATCCCATATCGCAAATGTCACCAAGAGATTTCACATACTTCTGAGCAGAATGTGTGGCTCTGGGGGCCCCAGTGTTGACAGCCTACATTTTACCCCTAGTACAGAAAGGAGAGATGTCATACCACAAGAGTGAAATCTGCTCTCGGGTTAGACACTCACCACCCCTAAACAGTTACAACAGTAAAAGCTCATTGTCACCTCATCGTGCTCAGTGTACATTTTCGAAATGTCAGAGTATGTAAATGCACTGCACTTTTTCCTTCAGACATTGTAAATGTGGAAGTTTGGAGAGTTTCAGTTCTTCATGAGCCCAAGCAGGGGTATGGTTACTACTGATGGGGAGAACTCAACACGCTAATTCCAAGCTTGGCAACCATCAGCAAACTGTTCAAAGAAAAAAAAAAAAAAAAAAAAAAAAAACAAGTGATTAGGCAAAGGCCACATCAGGTGGCTGCTTTCTTAAAAGATCAAAACCTGCAGGTCCCTCACAACTGTGTATGAAAAGAAGTGAGAAAGCAGAAGTTGGAAGACAACATCCTCCCCCAAGGAGGCCCAGAAAAACCACGCCCAGTCTTACAGTGGCACAGGGCACTCCTGGTCCAATGCCAATAATTGGAAAGGGCTGAGGAAATGAAGGCAAGAGAGACCAAGCAAGGCCTTAAAAGTTACAGAGCCAATTAATGGCAGGTTTCCTGCCTCCCAGATTAGTGGTCATGACCTTGGCCCACTATTTTGTTTCCAGAGTAAAAGGCCTCTGGGCAGTCATGGTTCCACTTTAATCCCAGCACTCGAGAGGCAGAGCCAGGTGGATCTCTGTGAGTTCAAAGCCAGCCTGATCTACAGAGCGAGTTCCAGGACAGCAAGAGTTCAACCCCCAGCCCACGAAAAAAAGACTTCAACCAATAGCATAATCAGAGTCAAAGAGAAACATGTATCTATTTTCCTGAGACAGGTTTTGTTGTTGTTGCTTTACTTTTGTTCTTTCTTTCTTTCTTTCTTTCTTTCTTTCTTTCTTTCTTTGTTTCTTCCTTTCTTTCTCTTTCTTTCCTTCCTTCCTTCCTTCCTTCCTTCCTTCCTTCCTTCCTTCCTTCCTTCTTTCTTTCTTTCTTTCTTTCTTTCTTTCTTTCTTTCTTTCTTTCTTTCTTTCTTTTTTTATTCTCCTGCTTCCAGAATGTGTTTCTTATACTTAAGATCTTGTCAATTTGCTAGGCTTAGTCCCAGCCCTGGGGAGGCAGAGGCAGGTGGATCTCTGTAGGTTCAAGACCAGCCTGGAACAAGAGCTAGTTCCAGAAAAGCCTCCAAAGCCACAGAGAAAACCCTGTCTCAGGAAAAAAAAAAAAAAAGTTTGGTTTATGTTGTTTCAAAATTAAAATTAGAAAAATGGGATTCAGTAAAAAAAATTCCCTTCTAGCAAAACTTTCAATAAAGGACACTCAAGTAACTAAGAAATAGGGAACCAACATGGACAGTCTCAGTCACACCCAAGGGTTTGGCCAGAGGCTTGTGACAGCGTAATGTAGGGGAGTCTAGGACAGTCCACAAAGCAAATTCAAGATCATGTCTATGACGAATGAATATACTTAAGTGCTAAGTATTTGATTTGTAGCCTTTCCTACCTGTGTACAACCTTTTATGGGAGCTGAAGTCTAGGATCAGACACATGGAAAGGAGCGTATTTCTGACTGTATGAAGTGTCTTGAGCACAAAACTAACCACTGTCAGGGTAAAGAGAAATGGAATGAAAGTACCTGGCACCTGCGATTAAACCTGCAGGCATAAATTTCCCAGAGTTGTAGAATCTCATCCCCATGATGCCAGCCAAGGTCCCGGATGTAGCTGAGAAAGATAGTCAAAAAGTGAGCACATCCTACATGCAAGGGAGGAGGGCAGGGAGGACCCACCCACCTTTTGAGGCCCAGACTCCATCCTACACTGGAGCTTAGAGAGTAGACAGATCACTGAAATGGGTCTTGGAAGGCTATGTCCACCCCAGGTCCCCAACCTCTCTGTTTCCTGGTCCCTCGTGGTGTAAACACACCCTTTCACAAAGGGTTGGCCCAGTCTCATCACCATGCCTTCCATCACGACAGCTCTCTGAAACCAGGAGCAACTGTCGACTGGTATTCTGGCCTCAATTCCCCTACCTTCTGTAAAACCAAGGCCTCAGCCATAAATGTTTTTACTTTCTCAAAAACACCATGCAGTTTCTTTACCCTACATGCTCTGACGGCTGGCTACCAAGTGTTTACAGAAAAACATTGACTGTATATGTACGCTGACTATACTCAATGATACTCTACGCCCTTGTAGTATTTCCAGCCTCAAGATGCAAGCTGGCTTAAAGAATCACACACACAAGTCTAATTTGTGCTACAGTGATTGCTCCACATATGACCTAGCAGTGAGCACACAGCTGATTCAGAAATATTACAAAAGGGCTAACTAGGGAAGCAAAGACAGCCAGTATCTGCAGACATAGCTTAGCAGCGGAGAGCTAGGCTCGGAAGGTGGTGGCCATGGAGATGGAGAGGAAAAGAGCGCTGCTGGGGGCTGAGTGACAGGGCTGAGGGCAAGAACAACCCAAAACTGAATGCATAGAGAAGACTGGGTGCTCAAGAAAGTGAGTGGATCCGACAGATGTGCTAAAACATCTACATGCATGAGGAGCTTCGCACAGAGGTTCTCAACCTGCATATCAGGTATTTATATTAAGATTCATAACAGTATCAAAATTACCGTTAGGAAGTAGCAAGGAAATAATTGTATGGTTGGGGACTACCACAATGTAAAGAATTGTATTAAAGGGCTGCAGCATTAAGAAGGTTGGGACGGTGGCAGACACCTTTAATCCCAGCACTCAAGAGGCAGAGGTAGACAGATCTCTGTGAGTTCAAGGTCAGCCTGGTCTACAGAGTGAGTTCTAGGACACAGAGAAACTCTGTCTGGGAAAAAAAAAAAAAAAAAAAAAAAAAAAAAAAACCAAAGGTAAGGGACCAATGATTTAACAGATAAGCTTGTGAGTCACTTGTGTACTGAAAACAAGGCACGACCTTCAATGGCACTGTCAAGGGAGAGACAAGCCAGGCCTTAATCAGAGTGCTTACTAGTCAGAAAGGAAGAGAGAAAACAAAGGGGGAAAAACAGACAGAAAATCTGGTCACCTATCTTGAGGAGAGGCCCCAGTCATATAAAATAAAGGCTGTACCTCAAACAGCAAGATCTGTACAGACACAGTGAGACTTGGGGAGGTAAGCATCCAATGGTCAAGGGAATAAAAATGAAGACTGGCATGGATCCACGATGTCTGAGAGAGGAAGAAATGAGGGAAAAAAAAAAAAAAACTTTTGGAAGGGAAGAGGAAAGCCAGTGACAAGAGGAAGTGGGCTAAGAGGTTTCTTTCCTAAAGGAATCAAAGTTGGCTGCAATATGAACTTTATGTGTAGACTCCCACAACAGAAGGGATCTTACACGGGAATACAAGTAAGTGACGGACCCTAGGCAGTTCACAGTTCGGGAGCCAAAGCCCTGATGGAAGAGGAGGGAAATGGAAATGGACAGCTGGAAGCTGAAGGCTATATGGGTGACCCTGGTTAGTGGCTGCAGGTTTTTTCAATCGAGTACTCATTCGGTCATTTGAAGAATGCAAAATGCTGGGATTAGAGGCAGAAGTGGTCTACCAGCCACTCCAAACCATGATGAGGAAACTGTTCACAAGAACTGAGAGCCCAGTGCAGCCTCTCTTCAGGCTGCCCACAGCTGGTGTGCAGAACCCATCTTTGGGAGGGATTCAAGTGTTCTTACACAGTGGTTATGAGAGGCACAGAGGTACCAAGTCCCTGACAAAAGGTGGAGACCAAGAAAAATGTGTCAAACATCACTGTAAGAAGCCATCATCTCCCACCCCATCCCCCTCCAGCCCCCACCCTGGGCTGCACCAGGACACTCATCTACCTGATTTCCCAGTGAGCTTGAATGCTCCCCAAAGGCAAGGTCTGTGTCTTACACAATTAATTGATGATAAAGGGGGGATAAGTCCAACTGGGGAAAAGGTTACGTGGACTCAGGCCTCATGTGGTGTGTGAAATTTCTCTAAGCTTCAAGCAGGCTGTCTTCAATATGGAACCTCGGGAGTTAACACACACTGCCTAGTCCAGTTTAAAACACATCTCACTGGGAAAATTAAATCCGTGCTCTATGAAAGCCTTCAGCATTCTGTATACAAAAGGAAAACAACCCAGGCTTTTCCACTATGAAAGCGACCTCTACCTTGGCAGAAGCAAGTGACTTGGAAAGAACCTGCCACACCTGCCCACCAGTCTCACAACCAAGCAGAACACAGAGCCCGGGACAAACCTACCTAGGAAAACCCACACATTCCTGGGATCCTGAGATAGCTGGTAAGCGCCAAGGCCTGCTAGGCTCCCGAAGAAGAGTCCAGCAGCCAGGGATGGCACACTACCTGTGGAGAAGCAAATGGACACACATCTGGGTTGTAATGTCAGACATTCCATATGGGATCTGCAAGACTCCCCTCCCCTGCAGAGGAAAACTCTAGAGAGTTCACGAGGCCTAGAGCTACAGCGCTCCCAGCGTGAGGGAGCCCGGGTAATCTACCAGAGAGGTTGGGGTCTTACATCCCAGCCCTGCCTCCTTTAGGAGGTGTGACTCAATATGGTGCGTGTCTGGCCACACAAGGCCTCGGCTTGAGCCTGGTGTTAAACAGATAATACAGAGTAGAGACAAGAGGTTTCCTACTTGAGGAGCTAACAGATAGCACACTGAAATGTGGCGTATGGCAATGGAGGATAACAACCATGCACTACCACCTCAGCCTATCTGCATGTAAACAGGCAAAAAAAAAAAAAAAAAAAAAAAAAAAAATGTCTGGCTCAGCTTAGCCAGATAATGTAAGGCCAGGAGCCTATGAAGGCTGCACTCAGGGACCTAAAGCAAACCTGAGTCAAGCAAAATTGGGCTTCAAGGACCCTGGGAACCCACATTTCACTGGACTAGGGTGACAATGGGCCAAGAGTACAGGAAAGGCTTACCTGCTTTTGCATAGCCAATAATCCCACCAGTAGCAACGAGGGCTGCATAGCCAAAGCCAAGATAATGTAAAGGCACCCTGGAATGGCAAAGGGGAGAAGCCAAGTTTAAAACACAACACACAAAATCCCTGGATGCAGCAAGTGTGATGCTCAGGATTGGTAAAGATGTGCCTCCCAGGAGTTTGATTACATTGCAGGGCAGAGAAAACCAACTCCGATGACAAATTTTCCTCTGACCCCTACACAAACAACATGGCCCAAAGTGCATCCACACAAATAAACAAACACAAAGGTTGTCATTTCCAGCTAATCCTGTCACTGTACAGAGAGAATAAAGAGAGGCTGGGTGACACGCCTACTCAACAGAACTAGACAGTGGCCGACCCGATTAAACCCAGGTCCCAGGCCACTAGTCCAGGGATCATGGCACACAACCTATGCTGCCCCTAGGCTGTGCCAGGCTGAATGCTCGTGTTACATGCTCTGGTTTAGAAGCTCCAGGTGATTCTATTCCTAAGCACTGGGCACTTACAGTGGGCCACTGTCCTTCTGCATTGTTCAGTCACTTTGGAGACCACACCAGGCCTGCACCTGTGGAGGAGGGAGGGGTCAGAGAAGTTAGGACACTCAGGCCTCTGGCTGTCAGAAAGAAATGAGTTCAAAGTACAGCTCTTGGTATGGGTGCAACGGGTCCTTGGAAACCCAGCCTCTGGTCACCTTAGACCTGCTACCTGGTGAAGGTAATTGGGTAACAAGTAAAGTCTTTCTTCCGTGTGTAGGGAAGTGCTGGAGAGGCACCAAGCATTTGTACTACAACCTCCGCTCCAGCAAGAGCCCACAGAAGTCAGCAGGAGTCATTGACCAGCTTTGGACAGGGACCAACCTGACTGCTTCATCAGTTAACTGAGTGACTGCAAAATCCGAAGCCAAACGGCCTATGCTTCAACTCAGCTCTTATCCTCTCCGAAGGCCAGGATGAGTGCTGCTTCCTCGCAAACGTCAATACTCAGCATACAAACTTTCAGAAACCCTTGGGTCCGACCTTCAGCTCCTGTTAGGCTGGAGCCAGGGACTAGAAAATGCCCAGGAACCCGAGTCACAATTGCACTAGACGCTACCTACACTCCTACAAAGCAACTAACTCCTGCTCCCTTATAGAACAGCCCTCCGCGGCACCGAAGCAGCGCAAGCGCGTTTGGGCTTCCACTCCCGGAAGGCGGGAGTCCCCGGGTCAGGAGAGTCAGAACCGCAGTTACAGAACGTTTTAGAGCAGCGGCGAGCGGGCCCGTGAAGCGAGCTCGGCAGAGAGTGCACCGGAGAGCCCCGGCGCCTGCGCACCGAGCGGCCGCGTGCGGAACAATTCCCGAGTGGCAAAATCCGCAAAGTAAGAACACACCCAAGACCGGAGTCGGAGGCCGGAGGCCTGCGCGGGAGGACGAAGGCGAGGACGGGCACACAGCGAGGAAGCCGGGTCAGAAGTCGGGTCTGCAGACGTCACGGCGCGCGCGGCGTCCCAGCGGGAAGGGCGGAGCCAAGGGGAGAGGCTGGGCGTCGTCTGGGGCGGGGCTTTAGGGGAGGGGCGGGGCTTGCTGTTATCCAAGGGAGGGGGCGAGGTTTGGTTCCCAGCAGGTTGAGTTTGGGGTTCCTTGTAGAGGTGGGGCTTGGGTGTAGTACCTGGCACATAAGTGCTCTTGGGAGAATGAGATGGAGAGGTGGTTAGCAAAAGGAAATATCAAGACAACACTCAAAAATCAGTGGCCATTGTCTCTTATTATCAAACCACTGAAGGAAGAAAATCCTTCACACTGTCCCCACAATTATTATCAAACCACTGAAGGAAGAAAATCCTGCACACTGTCCCCACAATTGCTGATATAAGAGGAAGGGCAATAGGAAGCAGGCAAAATCCTAGGCTTGAACATCGTAAACAACAGCTCTCTATTCCTTGGCTAGATGGTTTCAAAAGCCGTGCAGGGCTCTACATGTCCTTCACCACACAGGGATGGGGTGGGGGTGTTGTTTGCTTTGTTTTCTCTTTATTAAGGTAGCTTGCAGCTATGGGTTAGAGTGGCCTTGTCTTATCTATTATCTTTCACTTTCCTATGCTATCCAAATTCTCTTCTGGATAACCTTGGCCTTAATCAGACAGTCTTGTTTCTTTGTATAATTACACACACACACACACACACACACACACACACACACACACTTTCTTGAGTTCAAGGCTAGCCAGTTGGTCTTACTCCTCACTGCCCTCTCTGCTGGAAATACCTTTCTTATATTCTAAAATCTTAATCTCATTTCTTAGATGGGTAGAGCTGCCCCCCCAAAAAAAGATCATTACATTGAAAACCAATTTACCTCAAAGCGCTTACCTTTTGGGCAGTGATATTTTTCTTTTCAGCTCCAGAATCTGGGCAGATGGCCGACACACCTGGTAAACAATGTATGACTATTGAACGGGGGGGGGGGGGCATATAGTAGGAAACACACTAGTGCCAAGAGATGGAATTGTGTGTGAAAATCTGCTTCTATGCAAATATCCACATAGGTATTCCAACATATTACATCCCTAGCATGAAAAACAAAATCCACCCAGCTCCCTAAAACTTTTGTTCCTTATTTTGACTCACACTACTGTCTTATAGCAAACTGTGATATCCAAGGAAAGTTCCCTTAGCCACACTGGCACAGACTAAATCACAATGCTGGAAAGGTGGGGTTGAAGGGTTAGCTTGGTGGTAGGGTATAAGGCTCTGGATTAGGTCCCCAGAACAAGGGGGTAGGGATGTTGAGAACTGATTTGCCTGGTTTAAAATCCGTTTCAAACAGGGAAAATGGGATAAATAAGAACCACTGGGAGAAGGCACCAGCCTGGTAGAAGAGGCGCATTAGCCTCTCAGTGTTTATATATTGTTACCTACCTACCCCCATCTGTCATCAGCCGTGATGAGGATAGATCTTAAGTGGAGACATTTAAATAGTGAGCCAATCTATTTCAAAAATGTTTGCCCTGGGGGCACTAGGCAACATTTACTCCTCATAAGGTCTCAATACAAACCAAAGCTCACCCTGAGGAACCAATGAGTTTATTAAGGTTACTTACAGAGAATGGCTGAGGGGTTACAGGCCCCTCAGAATGACAGGAAAGCAGTCACTCTGTAAGGTCTGCACCTAGCATGAATTATGGCTGCATAGAGCCCTGTTGCAGAATATTTATTTACACTGTAAATAAAGATGTATCTCTGCCTCTAAGGTACCTTCTGATTGGCTTAATAAAGAGCTGAATGGCCAATAGCTAGGCAGGCAGGGTTTCTGGGGAGAGAGAGGAAGAGGAGGAAACTGAGCACATGAATTTCACCACCAGACACAGCTGGATCAGAAGATGGCCACCTGGATCAGATAGTATTGTACAATAGAATCACACACTCCATCAGAGATGCACTGTGCCTGTTGGCCAGTGGAGCACAGGGCTATTACTGTGGATGTATGGAGTTAAAATGGATGACCTAATTAGGGGCTTGTGATGCCTTCAGTTCTTATGTATTTTGTCTCCTGTCCAGTGTATCATACTGGATGCCTCACATAAATTTGAAAGCTATGAATACTTGGGTATCTTGAACTATTTATTCCTATTTATGCTTTACACACTTCCTATTCATTACTTCTATTATTTTTTTCCCTAGGGTGGGGCCTGCATTGTTCTGGCTGGCCTGGAACTCCTGGGCTCATTACCCCCTTGCCTCAGCCTCCTGAGTTACTGAGACTCCAAGAGTATGGCAGCTGAATTACTATTTATACCAGGTTTATAAACTCCCCCTACCTATCCATTTCTTAGTAGGCCACAACTCTTTGCCACTATGGATACAACAGTGGCTGACAGCACCAAGGTTCTCAGATGCTGGGAACAAAAGGATCACCTAACTAAAGTAGGGCCAACTGGAAGGCATAACTCGCTTCTGTAGGCACTAGGGGAACACCAAAGCTCCAAGTTGCAATCAAATCACAGAATTCCTGAAAAAGCTTGGACAAAGCTGAGATTAAACTTACAATCCTGTGATTGAATCCCATGCTTTTGTTTTTTAGCTTTTTGGTTTCTTTAGATGGGGGTCTCAAATAGTCCCAAATACCTTGAGTTCCTGGACTTCCTTCTATGTCCAAAATGCCAAGATTACAAGAATGCCCCACCATGCTCACCAAAAATGTTTGCATACACTCCTTTCAAAGCAAGACTATCTTTTATAGGAAAACCAAACTCAGGCTGGAGAGTGGCTCAGTGTTTGAGTAATGGCTGCTCTTCCAGAGGACCTGAGTTCAATTCCTAGCACCCACATGGCAACTCAAGGCTCTAACTCCCAGAGGACCCAATACCCTCACACAAATATACAGGCAAAATACCAATTCACATAAAATTAAAAAAAAAAAAAAAGAAAGAAAGAAAGAAAAGAAACCTCTATCATAGATTTTACTGTGTTGAGGGTGAGAGGGAGTTCATGTGTTACAAGTATGGAGGTCAGAAGACAACTTGTAGGAATCAGTTTTTTCCTTTCACACCTGGGCTTCAGGAGTTGAGCTCAGGTCTTTGGGCATGGTAGCATGTACCCTCATCTACCACCAAGCCATCCTGCTGGCCCATATTTTTACCTTTTTTTTTATTTCTACTTACACTATGACACTGGGTCTTCTCATCCTTTAATATCAAGACATTCAGGCATCTATTGAGCTGTTCTTTTTTATTTATGTATGTGCGTAGCTCTTGCTCTCCAGAAACTTGCTATGTAGACCAGGCTGGCCTTGAACTCAGAGATACGCCTGCTTCTGCCTCCTAAGTGCTGACTTTATATGATGAGGGTGGCAGGAACAGGTCACTGTCATTCAACACCTACAGTGTGCTAAGCTTGTTCTAAGACCTACATACACAGATACATCTTAACCTTATACCAATCCTGCAACACACAAAGGTATTATGTCTCTTATAGTCAGTCACACTGTGCCATCATGGCAACAAGAAAGTGAGCTAAGATTGGTTTAGACTAGCTTAAGTAGGTGAATATTTTTGATGCTCTGAAAGATGAAAAATTATGAGAAGTGTTTTCTTGCCCTTAAATTTGCTTGTCATTCACCACTTAGAAGCAGAATTGTCTGGAAAAAAAAAAAACTCCTTCATTCTGTGCAAGGAAGGGGGGCTGGGTACCGCCATGTTGTAAAGGCAAAGGTTGCTAACATGCAAGGCCCTGAGCTTGATCCCGAGCATCACAAAATAAATATTAAAAGCTCTATTATTTTAAATATAGTATTTTCAGATCTTTACTTATTTTGCATAGTAAAAAGTGTAATTACAATTACTATATACCACAATATATAATAAGATGCCGTTTGCCAAAAATAACTTTACTATTTAACAAAACAAAGCACCACCTAAAAGTGGTTCTCTTTTTAAGCTACACACTTTCTCCAGAGGGAGAAAATCCTTTTGTTTCTCACATGGGAAAGTTAGGTATAATGTTTGAAAAGGTCAAGAAGACATTCTCTTGGGGGAGATGTCTGGGATTTGCTATGTGAGTTTTATCTTCTTTTTTCTCCTTTTCAACACGTTTGTCACTTCCCTCTTCTTGGCTGACACTGGGCTATTTCCTTTTGTTGGCTCCTTGCCGTCACCAGTTAAACTAGAGTTCGAGTTAGGTCCTGGTGTTTCTTCTTTCTGAACCACGTCACAAGTTTCCTTTTTGATCTTTTTGGGCTGTTCTTTATTTACTGAAACACAAGAGAAGGAGTATTAAGGGTTGTTTCTCACTCTCAAGTGAAGCTTAACAACTCAGGAGGAACAGACTGCTCAGTCTTTTAAATGATGGACTCCATTTACCAGGGGAAGGCTCTGCTGCTGAAGGAAGGCTTGCTTTTTCATCCGTCGCTCTGTCTAACCACACTCCAAGACACGTCAGCCTGGCACCAGTATTCACCTCACACAGCAAAGATGGGGGGTCTCTCTGAAACAGAGAGGAAAAGCCCTTATACTTAACCCAGGGGAATTTTGGATAACAGCTTTTCCTTTTCCATAATGTAATAATCTTAAGTGAAGTTTTAGTAAACATTATATACTACAAAAGAATGTTCCAGTCAGTGCTAGGATGAGTATACCACACTATGTGTCACAGTATCCATGCACACTAAGATGTTCCACCACGGTTTGTGTGAGCGAGCTCACTGATGAAAAACCACCCAGCAATTCAGCTTTCATAACATGGCCATCTGTCAGATGATGCAAGCCTGTATTTTCCTGAGCATACGACAACCATACTTAGAGGTAGCTGACTAGTATGGTTTATAATTGATCTGACTAGGCTGCTCACAGAGCCAATTTCTTGAAATTATAGAATTCTAAGGACACAAACTATGTCTTACATAGACAAACCACACCTGCAGAGTTGAGAATAAACAATACTAACATGAGACTGTAAGGAGACTAAAGAAGGGAATTCAAGGTTTGATTATCTGGTTCAAAATTATTAGTAGTTCTGCTGGGCACTGGTGGCACACACCTTTTACTCCCAGCACTCAGGAGGCAGAGGCAGGTGGATCTCTGTAAGTCTGAGGCCAGCCTGATCTACAGAGCGAGTTCCAGGACAGCCTCCAAAGCCACAGAGAAACCCTGTCTCGAATTCACAGAGATCCGCCTGCCTCTGCCTCCCGAGTACTGGGACTAAAGGCATGCACCACCAATGCCCAGCTTCACTACAGAAAATTTAAAAGCTTAAGGATCAGTTTTATGACCCTCATTATACAAACACCATTAACTTAAGTAATACTTTAATATAGTGTGTTGACACTGAGGGAAGACACTGACCTTATCCTGCTTAAGTGTCCACATTTTGATGAAACCATCATTTGATGCTGTGACAAGAACATGGTGGTCTGGAATTTCAAAACTGAACATGTCTTTCACCCTAGGGTACAAACATTAATGCCAGAGATCAATTCTCCCAAAGGGTGTGATGTCATAAAACTACTACAAACTCCTGTTTTTTTCAATGTTTCAAGTGTTTTCAAAATGTCCAGTAAACAATAAGCTATGTAACAGATGCTGCATATTCCCCTTGAACAATTTTCAGGCCAAATTATGGGATAAAATGTCCATATTATAAAGACAGGTGCAAATGACAGGTATAAACACTCACGGTACCTTCTAAATCCTAGAGTCTAAGAGATAGGGATATGTAAGATGAAGCCTGTTAACTTAAGCAACTGCACATCCAGAAAGGAAAGATGCAGACTTCCATGAAGAGGAAGAGAAAAAATTTTCTCCCAACTCTGGGGCAACCACTACTTTTCATCTAAGAAGCTGCCTTTTTGTTTCTGGATTGTGGCTACTGCCCAATAGACCACTCACCTTCCATTGCTGCTAGATAAATGTTTCAAACAGAAGTAAAATTGTGCTATCACCAGGCCTAAAACTATAACTTACTTTAAAATAACATGGCCAGAACTGGCACCATGGCTCCATGGGTAACAACACCGGCAGGATAAGCCTAGTGGCCTAAGTTCAAGCTCTAGAACCCACAGTTGATGTGCAAGGAAAGAATCAACTCCACAGGGCTGTCTTCTGATCTTCAAGCACACACTGGGTACCACACCCTGATCACAGATGCACAGCACACAAGTCAACAATTAAAACACGAGGGAGAAGTGCCTGGGGCTAAAAATGGAGCATAGGCTCGTTCTGAGGTGATAAATGCTGAACTAGTGGTGACTCTACAAACAGGCTCCTTAACTGACCTGTAGGCCTGTCAAGCTTTCTGCAAGTAAACCAAATGGGCTGGGAAGGAAGCTCAGCTGGAGCATCTTCCCAAGTGCCCACCACCTTACGACAGTGTGAGCCACAGGAGAACATGCTGTCAGGTGTTCTGCTCATCACTGAGAAAGAACGGTGAAGTAGCATCATCAGGAATACGTTTGAAATGGCTTCCCTGAAACCAGCTTTCCTCACACTGGGAAACAGCACTGTGTACACACCAACTGCAGGACTGAATGCTTACAAAGACAGGTGTCTCACAACAACCACTCACGGAAAGCAAGATTCAAGACTCACTTGAGTCATGGAACAACATGCTGAACTACACTGGAGTAAAATGCTGCACGCTATTGCCTTTCTCAAAATTATACTAAAACAAACAAACACAGGCACATTAAGTATTAGCTGGCCTGGGTTTGGGAGCACTCCCTTACTTAAGTGTAGAATGATCTTGGGTAAGTTAATGATCTACTTGCTCTGAGACTCATTAGCTAACACTTCTACACACACAGCCAATACTTGGAGATGGAGCTCGATAATGTTATTTCATTTTTCCTATGGAGGAAAATAGCAGGAAGAAGGGAAGTGGGCAAAGCGAGTAGTAAGAAAAAGGGTAAAGTAGTCAGGGACAGGATGGGTGGTGGTGGTGGCTCACACCTTTAATCCCAGCACTCGGGAGGCAGAGGCAGGTAGATCTTTGTAAGTTCGAGGCCAGCCTTGTCTACACAGCGAGTTACAGGACAGGCATAAAGCTAAACAGAAAAACCCTGTCGTGAAACTTCCCCTTACCACCCCCCCCCCCCAAAAGAGTAGCCAGGAACAAAGCTCAATATTGTTTAGTTTTTGCTTTGCTCAAAATATGTTTGATATTCAACTCCAAGTCTAAGAGTTATATAAGACTACATACACAGAGATTGCTTTAAAAGAAAAAAAAAAAAAAAAGTACCTGTTTTCATGAGCTTTAAATTCACAGAGACATACCAGTGAATCACAGTCAAAAAACCTTACGACTTCTTCATCTCCAGCCACTGCAAGGACAGAGTCCTAGGAGAAAGAAGAACAATGCTCAGAATGTCCCCAGGAATTATGGCACCTCAAACTCCAGCCCTGCTCTGTGGTACTCACTGAAAGGAATGTAACTGACGAGATCCTCTTTCCATTAGTGATGGTGCCGCTCACGGAGGCCGTGTCTAGCTGATAGACATCCACTTTATTCAGCACAACAACTATGTACTTCTCTCCACTCGGGGACCATTCCACTATGTGGGCATCTGTAAGGCAAGACCATTTTCAGCTTCCTGGGCATGGAAGCCCATGTCTGCAAGCTCCAGCACTTGGGAGGTAGAGAAAGACCAGCCCCAGCTACATAGCAATTTTGAAATCACACTAATCTACACTAGAGCCTTTGTCAACAGCCCTACCCCATTGTATAAAGACTTTTTAAAAAAAGATAATCATTTCCCAGCACCCACATGCTGGCTCTCCATAACCTTCTCCAGATCCAGTTCCGGAGATCAGATACCCTCTTGTGGCCTCTAACAGCACCAGGGAAATAGTGTAACCACATGTATGTTTTAATTTTTTGTGTTCTTGGAGAAAAGATGGTAAATAAACATAGTACAACACTGCCAGCAGGCATGTGTGTGTGTGGTGAGGGTATAGGTATTTTTGCTTGCTTTCCAAGTTCTGTATTTCACATGTTTTTTATAAGCTCAGCTGATATGGGGGGTCAGGTAGGAAGTATTTAGACATGGAAAAGCAAATGACTGCCCACATAAAACTCCATGGCGGTGCCGGTAAAGGTGTCTGGTCGAGACAGGATCACCAAGGACCCACACAGTACAGACATACACGCAGGCAAAACAGCCATACACATAAATAATCAATATATACAAAATGTTATCTGCATACATTCATCATCTAGCTAGTTATTACAAAATGTACAAAATACTCACTTTGTTTTATATTTTTTATGAAAGCTGACCTTCCCTCTACAAGATTCCATGTTCTGCAAAAAAAGAGGTTTTATTTACAGCATGATCATCATGTCACCAAGTGAGGGGGGGGGGTATGCACGCCTCCACACAGGACAATTTCACTACATGCTATATATTTAAAGCATCTGCCATTTACTTTGTAGCTATGTCAATACATGTTTTTCTTCAAGTATGATTAAAGCTCAGCCCTTTCCAGAACTTGAAACATGTTATCCATTACATTTTCATCTATTCAAACGTTTCTCTCCAGGATCACTCTCCTCCTTGATTCGTTCTTCTGTAATTCAATCATATCCCTCCCCACCCCCCAATCCACCACCACCCCAGGGTCTCAGCCTGGAACTTGCTATGTAGACAAGGCTGGCCTCAGATTCACAGAGAGCAGTCTGCATCTGTCTCTGAAGTGCTGGTGTTAAAGGTGTGCACCACCTTGCCTGACCAATATAGATCATTTTTACAGCAGCATCATGAAATAGTTTCTACTGACTTTCTGCTTTGCTGTTATCCTTGTTACCATAATACGTTAAAATGGTTGAAAACTTTAAAACGATATGGAAACAGTATTTGTTACTGCTAAGTAAAAGACACATTAGTAAAGATGCCCCTGGGAATTTATAACTTACCTCAATGTCTTATCAGTACCAACAGACAGAGCCAACTTGCCAGACGGGTGGATAGAAAGGAAAGTCACATGTCCTCTAAAAGGAAAGGGACAGTTAGCCCTCAGCCTGACTTGCACAGTAAGAATGGCAATAGGACCAAGGGGACTTACTTGTGAGCTTTAATGGACTTCAGGCATTCCCATTTTTTTGCATCCCATACACAGATGAGTCCGTCCTCTGAGCCACTGATTAAGTGCCTGTTGCCATAGAATTTCAGGCAAGTGACAGTTCCTTTGAAAAAACAAGACAGGCAAAATTATATCTACTCTGAACACAAATTCTGTCTCTGGTTGGAAGTGCAGGAGAATGAATGCAGTCTGGAAGTAGCTCTGTCTAGCACAGACAAGATCCATGTTCGATTCCTGGCACCACGAAAGCAGAGACAGCCAGTGCTTTTGCTGAGCTGATTATAACACGGGCCATACACATGGTCCACAACAACATTGACTATTTGGTCCTTTATAGAATAAAACTGAAAATCCCTGGGTCACTATTTCCATCTATTCACCTTGTATTCATCAATAATATCCTCTCTTGTGGACAGAAGTTTCTGTCCCACCTGGTCCCACAACTGTTTAGCCCCAAATAAACACAGAGAATTATACTATTAGAAAATGTTTGGTTGAGCCGGGCATTGGTGGTGCACGCCTTTAGTCCCAGCACTGGGGAGGCAGAGGCAGGCCGATCTTTGTGAGTTCAAGACCAGCCTGGTCTACAAGCGCTAGTTCCAGGACAGCCTCCAAAGCCACAGAGAAACCCTGTCTCCAAAACAAAACAAAAAACCAGAAAATGTTTGGTATGGCTCAGACTTCTCACTGGCTAGGTCCCTCTTAATTATTAAACTATAACTACTAAACTATGTATTGCTGTGAAGCTGTGGCTTACTCATAATCTGGCATGTTACTCCGCTACATGGCGTCTCCCTCCCAGCTTCTCTCTGCATCCTTTCCCAGAATTCTCCTCCTCTGGTAACCCCGCCTATACTTCCCGTGGCTACAGGCCAATCAGGGTTCTATTCGTCAGCCAATAAGAGAAACATACATACAGAAGACATCCCCGTCACTCTCTAGCAATGCTGCTTCCTCACATCTGGCCCCTCTGTCCAGGGTTCTATCAACTCCTTAGAAAAGATCTTATCTATTACCAACTATCTGAAAAAAAAAACCAACCAACCAAATAAACAAACAAAAACAAACCCCCCCCAAAAAAAAACAAAAACAGGACTTACACAAAAAGGAGGCGAGCAGGAATCCTACCTCATTCATCTCATCTAAGCTTTAAGACCTTTTTAACTGCTGAATGTATAACATCTTGTATATGCAGATTGCTCAAAGCCCGGCTTTAGCTAAAGAGCAAGACATTGGGAGCAAGTGCCTACCATTCTAACTTAAATCTCAGACACCAATCCTCAGTGTATAACCGCTCAAACATGGAAGGCGGAAGAAAGGGCCCTATTTTAATCTACCTTTCTTTATGGAAAAAAGTCTGGCTAAGTTCTCAAGCCAAGTACATACCGATTAATTCTGAGTTCTCCTCTGCCTTTACCTTCATCTTTGTTGAAAAAAGAAAAATCATTTAGTCTGCACACTGCCATGATTCTCACCATGATAATGAACAGACCTCTGAACTCTAAGCTAGCCCCAACTGAATCTTCTTTTTTTTTTTAAGAGTTGCCTTGGTCAATGTGTCTCTTCTCAGCAACAGAACAGTGACTAAGACAAACTTACCACTGTGATGTACCAGAGCCCCATGATCGATCTTCTTTTTCATGTCATAAATGTGAATCGTTTCATCTTTGCTGCCAGTGACTACAAAGCGACTGTTCGCTGCCACCGCTGACAAGGAGGCAGTGTGGGCATGGTGAGTGAAGTCAGCCACAGGAGCCCATGCCTAAGAAAGAATGAAACAGATGGTGAGCCCCACAGTCACATCCTACAACCCAAAAAGCAACCAGGGGAGCCTGCAAATGGAGAAGAACTAGGTAATAATACGCAGGTAAAACAAAAAAGGACTAGAGACCTGAATAAGGAGTGTAAGGAGGGGAAGTTAGGCTTGGTACCTATCTCCAGATCCCAGTAATGGAGACTTATATAGAGGCTTCCATATCAGTAATTCATTCAAATGTTCAACTTCTCATGTGAATTAATTCCAGTAACATTGCCTCCTCTCTCTCATCTATATTACTGTTCTATTAAATATGCCTGACCCCACTATGGGTAGTAGAAATAACAATGAACAGAGAGGAGTCAAATGCAACTTTCACTCCAAGGAACTACAAAACGAATTAAGGTGATGCTACACAGAGTTTGTAAAGATATGATAAGCCCTATAAAGAAAAGTAAGACCGTGTGGGCTCATTAGTACTAACATGAGCCCTGAGAACTGCTAATAATGAGTCTCAGGGACCAGATGCTCATTACTATGTGGTTTTTGGTTTGCGAAACATGACTGGATGAGTACAAAGTACAGAACACATGCACACATATACAGCACTCTTCAAATTGAAAGAGCTATGTGGAAAGGTGTTATTAGCCAACGGAGAAAGAAAACAAAACAAGAAACCCCAGCAAATTTCTCTGCATCATGCCTAAGGTGAGTCACCACACATGGAGTCCTAAAGACGACAGCAGGGGTCAGTCCTCCCATCAGTCAGGGGCAACAGACCTCCTTTGATCAAGACACAATGTACCTGGGACATGTGACTTTATTTCTTCTCCTCCCCTCCCCCTGCTTCTTTTAAAATTCTCCCTATGTAGCCCAGGCTGGTCTTGAAGTCACTATGAAACCCAGGCAAATTTTATACCTTTTCCCCCTTCATTCATTCATTCATTTATTTATTTGCGACAGGGTCTCGCTGTGTAGTTATGGCTCTCCTGGAACTTAATATGCAGACCAGAGATCTGCCAGCCTCTGCCTCCAGAGTACTGGGATTAAAGGCATGCACCACCATTGCTGGCTTAAACTTTTAAATTCTTAATTCTCCTGCCTCAGCCTTTTGAGTAGACATGAGTCATCTGATTCAACCATGCTACAACTTTATGTCAAGTATTACATGTTTACTCAAATTACATAAATAATTATTACCATGGCTACTGGCTAGATTTAGAAGCAGCACTTAGAAATGTTAAAAAACGTAAGCCTGGTGGGCCCTGACATATTGTATTTGTAAACTGTGTGGCCTTGAACAGTCTCTTGGCCTGTGAGAAATCTCCCAGTTAATTGTCTGTAAAATGAGAATGGCTGTATCTATCTCAGGGTTGCTGGGCATCTGGAACAATCCTACCACAAAGAAAACACACTAAGGAAGTACCCAACAAAACAGATTTGTAGGTGATAAATGGAACTGTTCCAGAAGTAATCATTTGTAGTATTAGATCACATCTCTAGTCCTGCATATGCCCTGTTATCATTTGGCATATTAGATCAAAATTTTAGTCTGTATATAACCCTGTTTACTGTCTGACTACCTTGTTGGCAATTACCTTCTTATTTTCATACCTAATAAAAATAAATGTCACACTGTGCTACACTCTATGTATTCCTCTCTCTTGTTCACCAGCCCTTCAATCAGGACAGTTACCAGAGCAGGAACCACACCTCTGGCACCTTTTCATCCTGCCTCCCTACCACAGTAAATTCACAAGACATAGTGAATGTGTATCACTTTCTTGATCCAAAACCAGCTGCAATATTTTGTTAATCAGGATAAAAACTCAGTAAAAGATAAAGTCACTTTTACATTAGACCTTGAACAGCTTTTAATTGTCAGCTTAAATGCCCATCTCCTTTTTGTATGTGTGTTTAAAATGCCAGCTTTTTCATGCCCTGAGAATGCTTTAAGGTTTTTTTTTTCCTTTTAGTTAACATATGACTGCATGTATTTATGGGGCACAATGTGACATTTCAATACATACATAGATCTGGAAAGAAAAAAACCGACCTATCTATCCCTCAGTCAAGTGCCATGTCTTTTGAGTTGACAACATTCAAAATATTCTCTAGTAACTACTTTAAAATATCCAACTGACTGTTATGTGACTAGGTAGCAAGTATAGTTACCTTACTAGGCAAAAAAAAAAAAAAAGGTAATTCCTCCCATCCAATTGCATTTCTGCAAGCATTAGCCATCCTCTCTCCGTCACCTCCCTACCCTGGCCCCCTGCTTCCAAACCCTGACAACCATTCATCTACTTTCCATACTGCGATCAACGTTTTCGTTTCTGTCTATGGACATTTTTTTAAAACTACTATAACAAGTAGCTATTATTTCATTCTGAAAAGCCTTTCCTCTGTAAAGAGCAGTGTCTTTCTACACAAGCTTTAAGCTCGCTATCCTCCTGCTTCGGTCTCTCGAGAGCCGGGCTTACGGCACAAGCTTGTCCATCAATTATCTATGGAGACCCAGCAATAACAGCAGGCGCCGCAGTGTCGGCCCGGGTGGGAACCAGCACCCCTCCCCGCCCGTCCTCCGCAGCCCCGGGCTCGCGGCCTCTCACCTCCCGGTCGTCACTCGCCGCGGGCTTGCGGTGCACTGCGAACCCGAACAGGACCTGCTCGTAGCTACCAGCGACCAGCTCCATTCAGCAGCACACGTGCCGTGCAGGACAAGCCGGCGTGGAAACCCAATGCAAGAGGAGGCAGGCTCTTTTAGCTTCGGCGCGCAGATTTCACGTCATCACTCAGGGGCGCCTTTTAGGTGCCTGCAACAGCAAGGGAGTACGCGCTCGAAGGTCACGAGGTCCTTCTACGTGACGCTTGGGGAATGAAACTGCAAAGAGAAAAATGTTGTGGCAAACAGAAAAATGTTGTGGCAAACAGGCAAATCCTGCGAAGCTGTGAGCAGGGCGGGGCCTTGGGCAGTGGGCCGGAAGTACTCCGCGCAAGCCCCAACTTCCGGTGCATCTATGGAAGGGGCGTGCCCACTTCCGGGTCTGTGCGCGTTAGTAGTTGAGGCTCCAGCTTGCTGCGGGCATTTCGGGTTTGGGAGTTAGGATCCTGCGTTTGCGGTTTTCTCGTTGTTTGGACGCAGGCTCTCGCCACGTCGCCCAGGCCGGCCGCCTCCTTGCCTCTGCTTTCTTCCTGCGGCTCCCCGTCGCTCGGACTACAAAGCGAAGGGGTTCGCTCCTGTGCAGAAAGCAATGGAGGGGCCTTTCTGTCGGGCCGGCAGGGTGGCGGGCCGGGCTCCGAGCCGGAGCTGGCGGTGTCCGCTCGCAGGCCTGAGTGCCCGGTCCGCAGGCCAGACCATGGCGTGCTCAGTGCAGTACTCGGATCTAAACGCTAGTGGGGCTGCGGGCCATGCTGGTACGAGAAGAGATTGTCTTAAGGGAGGACGGTAACGTTCGAACCTCCAACAGTGTTCAGGCAAGGAGCAGGGTTTTTTTTTTTTTTTAAGACATTAAGGTTTCCATAAGTTTTAGGCAGGGTCAGGGATGTTTTACAAATGAGTCTTTTGAGAACCTCAAAGGTTTAGTGCTTATGTCATTGCGTGCATTGCAGCGGATGGGTTAGTTGGTGCGTGTGTCTACTAATGAAGTTCTTAAGTGCCTAGACTTTATTTCTTTGAGACACTTGTTCTCTAAGGCTATCAGTTGTCTACATAGCTAACAGTAACGTTTTGCTTTAGTATGGGGAAATGATCTTTCAGTGGAGGAAAGAAGCTCTGTGTGTTCTTCCAGTTTGGACTACTCTACTGACAAATGCACACACAGTCCAGTCGAAACCCTTGTGTTAACTTATTTATGTATCTTCAGTTACTGCTAATTTTCCTGGTGTTTGTTTTGTTCTTTTTGAAACCGAGTCTCAGTGTAGCTCCTGGCTGCCCTGGAAACATCCCTGTAAACAAGGCTGGCCTCGAACTCAGAGATCCACCTGCCTCTGCCTCCCAAATGCTGGGATTAAAAGGTGTGGGCCACCACCACCTGTCTTGCTTTTCTAGTTTTAACTCTGTCATGGATTTTTCACTTTTTGTGGTGTGTAAATGCATAAAAATGTATTTTAAAATGTAAAATCCATTTCTTCCACCTTTTTGTTTGTTTTTTCCTTCATTTCTTTAAGGGATTTTCTCACATCTTCTTTGAGGGCCTCTATCATTTTTATGACGATAATTTTTAAGTCGTTCCTTTCTGCTTCATCTGCTTTGTTGTTTTCCGGTCTAGTTGGTGTACCTCAGACAGTGGAACCGGGATATTCCTGGTGCACAAAAGGACCTTGCAGACACATCCCCCATGGAGGGATAACTGCTTTAACCTAGAGATAGGAGAGAAGTCCTAGTCCCTACTTCAAATGACTTGACAGATCTACATGACCCCACCTGGATGGCATTGCTCTACATGTGGAATTGGGGTGGGGGAATGGGAGGAGGCAGAGAGGGAAAGAGGGAGGGAAGGAGGGAGGGAGGAACTGAGATCCACATGTAAAATAATAAAGTGTAAAATCCAGTATGAAATTCCTCTTGAGATGTATAGACCTGGTTAATTTGACTTACTATTTTGTAACTTCTTTATATTAAAGTTTTAATAAAAAAATAAGCTATTATTGGCATTAGTGCAGTGAAGCAGAGTTTATGTGAATAAAGCAAAACATGACTTATCACCCAGTACAAAGGAGGCATGCGTGGGAAGGACACAGTTCAAGGCAAGCCCAGGCTCCAGGAGATCCTGTCTCAGCCTTCACTCCCTTTGGGAAAAAAACAAAAACACCTGAGATCTCAGCTTTTGGGAGGTGGAGACAGGAGAATCAGGAGTTCAAAGCCAACTTGGAGATGAGAATGTCTCTGCTCCCAACACACACACAACAACAATAACTTTAAAAAATGAAACTATGACTTGCAAATTGAGCTGCTTCCAAAAACAAAGCAGGTTCTGGGAACTCCAGAATACTGTAATGGAAGAATGATGTAATTACCTACAGCTTAGTCCTTTAAATAATCTGTTGTCGTTTAATTGGCTACAAGGCATCTAGTAAGCACCAGAGGCTGGGTTACTGTGAATAAGTCTACAATGCTTTGATCTGATGGGCTCAGTGTGGGCTAGTCCAGATGCATGGCTCCTACAATGTAGCCCTGTATGGAGTCTGTTAGTACCAGAGCATCACACACTTTCACCTGCATACATTTGGTAGGTTTTAGAGGAGAGTCATCTGCTCCAGAACCATAGAATGTGGTTAGTTCTAAGGTGAAAATCCTTAAGTGTAGGTGTCATAGTGATTTTACAAAAGAAAACAAAAAAAAAAAAAAAAAAAAAAACCACTGTAGAAAGTAGTCCAGCCAATCATAAAGCTTAGAAGACGTAGGATGTCAGCCAAAACTTAATAGGGTGGATGAGGCACATTGATAAATATCGTGGCTAATTCATTCCTCAAAAGTATATGGGGGTTCTAGAGAGATGGCTCAGTGGTTAAGAGCACTGGCTGATCTTCCAGAGGACCTAGGTTCAGTTCCCAGCACCCACATAGTAGCTCACAACTGTCTGTAACTCCAGTTCCAGGGATCCTATACCCTTATGCAAGCAAAACACCAATGAGCATAAGTGGTTTTTTTTGTTTTTTGTTTTTTTAAAGTATATGAAAACCTGTGGATCTAAATTTTTGGAGAAAGTTGATAAAAAATTTACCTTTATGACGGGATTATTGCTCCAATGAAGTAAAATTGGATTTATTTTACACTTTTAGATATATTTTTATGTATTTACATGTCATCAAAAAAAATGAAAAATTCACAATAGAGATACAACTAGAAAAAAACAATGAAGCCCAGAGTAAAATATCCTAATTTGGTCTTAGATTATAAATGCTGAAACACACTCAGGAAAGTGACATTCCAAGGCCACACAGCTAAGTGGCAGCCAATTACTACTCCTGTGTTTTATACACTCTTGACTTTGAACTTTCTGGTTCATGGAGAACAAAACTGCAGCTTTTCATTTCACACAGATTCACAGCGTCTTAACTAGCTCAGGTTGTAGGACTCATTGAAGCCAACCACTGCAGAATTATACCTGTTCTAGATTCAAACAGGGCATACTTCTGAGGTCTCCTGTTCTCTCAAAACAGGCTGTAAAAGGCCACTTAATCTCAGTATGAAACGTAAGTCGGCAAGGAGCAAACCGACGGTTGAGAGATCAATAGCACACTAACAGGATTATTATTGTGCCTTAGAATGATTGATTGCAAAGCTCTTTGCACTTGAGCCATGCCTTCATTCATTCATCCAGTTTAAAAAAAAAAAAAAAACAAACCTGCAGTACCGTAGTTGACTATATTCCTTTTTGAATAGCAGTGGTAAGAGTGGAAGAAAATTAGCCTCATTCAGAAAAATTCCAAGAGTGTAATATTACCACTCATTCACTTTGCTTCTTCATGTGAAAAGGAGCACCTCTGTTAGATTTTAGGACTGTGGGGGTGTGTATAGCTGTATTGACAGAGGTGTTTGTTAACTTTGCATTTCTGAGCTAAAGCCAGCCAAGATTTCGGTCAGCTTCCCAGGCACTAGCATGCATAGACAGCTTGCTTTGTGTGCTCAATCCAGCTGAACTAGGTTTGTCACGCATTTGGGAAAATCACAAAGCATATTTTTGAGCCCTCCCTTGTCATTTTCACCTACAAGTCCTCAGAAGGCCCAGCTTCACCCAGAGTCGTTGCTTAAATCATTAAAGGGGCTGGAGAGATGGCTCAGTGGTGGATAGCATTTGCTGTTCTTGCAGAGGACCTAGGTTTGGTTTCTCAGCCCCAACATGGCGGCTCACCACCACCGCCTATGACTCCAGTTCCAGAGTCCATTGCCCTCTTCTTGACTTCACTGAATTCCGGATGCACATGGAGTATAAAAACACATAGGCTGTTGTAATTTTAAAAAGTGGCATGCAAACAAAAGACGCCATGTGACAGAGCTTAGGTGGAGGAGTTTTTAATTGGCAAAAAGTGAATGGGAAAGGGGGGGAGGGAAGGAGGAAAACCAACCTCTGCGGACAGGAGCAGCAGAAGACAAGAAAGAGGCGGAAAGTGGATGGGGGGGGCAGAGGGAGGGAGGGAGGGGGGAGGGAAGAAAGGAGAGAGAGAGGAGGGAGGGAGGGAAGGGGGAGGAAAGTGGGCAGTCACCTTTTAAAAGGGAATGAAGTGAATGTGCACAGATGGTGCTCTTAGTGGCTGCAGCTGAGGGCATATCCTGTCAGAACCCCAAGGGCAGGACAGTACAGATGCCTGAATACTAACACAGGTTCACTCATATACCGTAAAGGAAATAGATTTTTAAAAAAACCACTAAGGAAACATAAGAGAATTTCTTTGCAAAAAGCTTGCATACTGTTTGTTTTATTATGCTTTTCGTTCTAAAGTAAAAATATTGATACAGGCTGGGTGGTGGTGGCGCATGCCTTTAATCCCAGCACTCGGGAGGCAGAGGCAAGCCGATCTCTGTAAATTCAAGGCTAGCCTGGTCTACAGAGCTAGTTCCAGGACAGTCTCTGTTGGGGATGACTGTCACTCCTTGTTCTCTTCCATGTGTCATTAGGGAGCAGTTGAGGTCCCATTACAACCTAGGTTGCCACTGTGATAACAGTGATTAACAGATGCACAGCTTTACCCATCTTTCCTGCCACCTCAATGGCTTCACGTTGAATGGAAATGGGCCCAGCCCTCTGGCTGTGTATGAGAACCCTGAACCCCTAACTGGACCTTGGGCCATTCCAGAGGTAACCCCTGTTGAAATAAATCTTAGTCATCTATGTGCGTAGTAATGTAACCATCATTTCCTTGCCTTCCTCCCTCTCCCTCTCCCTCTCCCTCCCTCCCTCCCTCTCTCTCTCTCTCTCTCTCTCTCTCTCTCTCTCTCTCTCTCTCTCTCTCTCCTTCCTTCCCTCCATCCCTCCCTCTCTCCTTTCTCTTTTTTTTCTGACAGGGAAATTATTTCAATTCTTCCTGACTCCTCTAGAAAGTAAAGCAATAAACTGATTAAATCGTGACCTAAAATTTCTTGCTACTAAATTTTAGATGATCATTGGATATAGATTTTGCTGACTCTGAAACTAGGATTGGAAAGAACTTTTAATTAGACAATGGAGACATGAAAACCATTTAGAAAGATATTTTAACACCAATTAGTGATGTGTTTCTAAGTCCCCCGAAGATGTACCTGCATCTCTCTTCTCATTCCTTCTCCGCTTGGAGGAAAGTATCCCTGGAATGAATTTGTCTTCTACATCCTTCCTCCAAATGCCTGCTAGCTGAGGTGGTTGAGCTTTCTTTCTGCTGTGGATAGGGATGGGGCTTCATTGTTTTGAATTGCTTGTACTTCCCACTTCTTTAAAGGGAGCCTTCTTTTAAAACCTCCCTCCTCTAGGGTCTGGGGGTTAGCTCAGTGATAGAGCTGATACAAAGCATCCAAAAGCCTAGTACCCAAGCCAAACTAATCAAGCAAGCAAAGCCAATATTCTTTAAGCCTTGTAAGGCAGAGGCAGTAGAATCTGATTTGAAGGCCAGCTAGAGCTCCCAAGTGAGACCCTGTCTCAAATAGCTCAATCAACCCTATTTAGAAGATTGTGATTTTTATTCCATCCTCGCTTTACAAACTTCTTTTTATCTATCTTCAGGTGTTTGCGTGGGTGTTTTTCGTGGTGTATTTTTCTTTGTTGTGTTTTTTGAGACAGGGTTTCTCTATGTAGCAGCCTTGACTATCCTGGAACTAGTTCTGTTGACCAGGCTGGCCTCCTTCCTGCCTCTGCCTCCTGAGTGCTGGGATTAAAAGCATTTGCCACTACCGACCAGTTGGTTGCTTTTGTTTTGTTTTGTTTTTGAGACTATGTTTCTGGAAGTGGAGGGGCTGGATTAAAATGTTAAGCAACATTTAGAATGTAGTTAGGGAGTATGCTGGTTTAGTAAAGTGGCAGTTGAAGGTTCTTTTCCAAGATCATGACTTCACTAGTCCTGGGTAGTTGGCTAGGTTTCCAGTACCAGGCGTGACTTCTGTCTTGTTGAGTGAGTCTTAAGTCCAATTAGAGAGATGTTGGTTCCCACAAAGGTGTTTGTACTGCTATTGCCCCCTTAGGGCTATTGTGCCATGCCGTCATAGTTGTGGTTCATAGGCATCAGAGCTGGGTAGGACTGGTGGTTGCCTCCCTCCTTTGGAAGCCTGCATGTCACCTTCTGGTACCCTGAAAGCCTGTGCTCAGAGAGAAGGCATTCAGGCCTGTTCCAGCTCGGGCCTCTGGGTCCTCTGTCTGAAGTACATGATTCTTCAGCAATAGGATGCTCTGTGTGTGTGTGTGTGTGTGTGTGTGTACACATTACATACATACACACACGTTTGTAACGACAATTAATGAAAAGGGAAGGGAGAAATTATATAATTATATCATAGCGTCAAAAATACAAAAGAAAATGTAATGCTAAGCAACAGAGTCTTCACTAAAACCCTTGTTCGCTCTTCATTACTGCCTGTGTCGGGAGCACTAGCTTTTTTGGGTTCTTGCCTGTGTGAGTAACCATCAAATAGGCATGGATCTATTAATTATCAAGTGTAAACAACTTCTAAAAAATTCATTGAGAACCAGGAGTGATAGTCCTAGGTATGTGTGGGGGGCTGGGGGTGCACAAGGGGAGTCTAGACTTCTAGAGAGAGAGAGAGAAAAAAAAAGATCAGTGTTAAGGTAGAGAATAGACCACCTGATACAGGAATCAGAAATCTGTTCAGCATGGTGGCAAACACTAGGGAGGATTTGAAGCAGGAAGATTAAGAGTTCAAGGCTAGCCTGAGCTACACAATGAAATCCTGTGTTGGACAACACAACATAGACTCTGATGCCAAGAGTCTCTGCTGTGTGGTTCCTGGGTCCTAGGAGTCCAACAGTACCCAGGAGCTCAAAGAGGCCAGAAGCCTTTGTCCATCTCATGCTCCTTCCTGATATTTCTTCTGTAATCCAGCTCACCCACCTCTTCATTCAGGGAGGTTTAGTGGTTTTGATATTTTCGGAGCAAGATTTTCTATTCCAAGAAAGCACATATGATGTTAAATCTTAGCATCTTTTCTCTTAAGATACTCATTTTCTTTGTAGGAAACCACAGCCCCAGCTGGAAACCAAGATGAAGAACTTCTAGAAGGTAAATATGAACCTTAAGAAAAACAAAAAGAACAATTTCCAGGTATCTCATTCTCTCAAGTCGCTAGAACTGAGAAATCTGACTGGAAAATTCCATTGTAGGTTGCTTAAAAATTCTCTTTGGAAATTTGTCCTATCTGGGGTCTAATAGGTTTTCTGTGCCCCCACTCAAATACCTAATAAATAATAAGTTTCTCTGCTGCCAGCATAAGCCAGATCAAGCCGAATAGGAAAAGTGTAACAGAGAAAGTGTAACAGTATATTGAGCAAAGCAACTGCTGGGTGGGTTCTCTGGCCCATGAGATCTAGGCCAGAGAAGTTGAGGGCCCAGGCCAGGGCAGGTAGGTTTTATAGATTGTAAGTAAGGGGTGGTAACCTGTCTGCCACAAGCTGGGTTTGTACCCAAAATATGGTTGAAAGCTGAGAGTGCTTAGGCAGTGACTTGGGCAGCTGGAGCAATTGGAAGAAGTTGTAATAGTCACCAAGAATGTAGAACCCAGGCTTTAGCTCCTTTCCTTTGTTTAGAGACTCTCTGAGCATCAGGTTTGAAGAGAGGGAGAAAAGAACAGAGGGAGAGAGACAGAGACAGAGAGGAGGAATGGGCCATGCAGGGATGAGCTGGAGGCTCCAACCAAACAGGGTCAACGTCAGCAGATGCACCTCTCTGGGCCTTTCCAAAGCTTGGGAAATGGGAGCTTCCCAAATGGAAGAAGCTGTGATGCTGTTTTCAGGACTTGTTTCCTCCATAAGCTTAGACTTTGAGATTTGCTACAGCCTGAGTGTGACCCCTGAAATTCAAGTGTTGGAAAGTTAACCTCCAGCGCCAGTGTTGAGAGGCCGGACCTTTAAGAGAGGAGGAGATCCTCAAGGACAGATTAGTGCAGTCGTTGTGCAAGTGGACTCCTGCTACAGGGCTGGAGCTAGCCTTGTATCCCTTCCCACTTCTTCCTCTCTGTCCCCTTGTATTCCCGCACTTTTTCCATCTATAAGGGGTCAAAACACCTCTGAATCTGGGCTTCTAGGACTTAAGTCAAATACATTTTACCCATTATATGAATGTCAGTGCTGATGGATTAAGGATTAATCATGTTTCAATTTGTGTGTGAGAGCTGAGATGGAACACCCATATTTTATTTTTTAAAGAGAAAGAGCAGGAGGTAGTTTCTGTAGCTATGGCTTCCTGCTCTTATCTAGGCCATTGATTGATTGCTGGGGAACCAACAGGTGTCTCTGGAGTGCTAAGTTGGAGATGTTTTCTAAGGTTTTCATTTGTTCTGAAAAGAACAAAGTTGGGCCCCCAGATCGTTTTTGAATGTGTTATATTTGAGGAAGTGGAGAAAATACTTTATCACAGACAAGAGAAAAGGAGATACCAAGAAATGGGCACCCTGTCCCTGTGAGCCCTGGCTGGGCAGACTCACCCTTGCCTTTGCTATCCTAATGAAGAGAGCAGGTGGTTGTGTTTTGGGGGCCCTTGTGGCCATCAAGGAATTTTCATAAAATATTTGTATTAGTTTTTCTAGATGTTCGTCTTTCAATTTACATAGGAACAAAAGTCGCTATTTCTGCTCTCGAGATTTCTTTGTTGTTGTCGTTGTATTTTGGTGGGTTTTTTGTTTTGTTTTGTTATTTTTGAGACAGGGTTTCTCTGTATTACATTGGGGCCTATCCAGGAACTTGCTCTGTAGACCAGACTGGCCTTGAACTCACAGAAATCCTCCTGCCTCTGTCTCCCGAGTGCTGGGACTAAAGGCATGCACCACCAACACCCGGCATTCAGGATTGCTTTTGGGTTAAACTGTGAACCTGCCCTTCCTGACTTCATGAGCTACACAACACACAATGAGGACATGCAGCAAGCTAGGTGTGGTGGTGGGAAAATCAATCCCAACACTTGTAAGATGGAAAAATTATGTGTTTGAGGCCAGCCTGGGGTACCTAAAAACACTGTCTCCAAATAATCTGCTTTCCCAACACAGTCTGTCAGAGTTCAAATCCTACCTACTAGCTCTACTATCCTGGACAGATTAATGTCTAGTTGGTTTCCTATCTGTAAAGTGGATTGTCATAGCTAGCTCAGAGGATATGGGAGTGTGACATCTAAAGAGCTCTTGTGTGTCCTAACAGCAGCTGACACACAGTAACCACACGAGAGGATAGCTCGGTCATAGAGCTAGAGAAGCATAGCTAACTAGAAATCAGCACAGAACACAAAACACCAGCTGCCCAAGAAGATGAGTTTAAATTTCTAGTAGGCAATCTGAAGGGAAAGCCGAAGAGACTGGGCACTTGGGTATTCATTGTCTCCCATGTGACATTCCGAGTGTGCACAGATAAACAGCTGTCTACCTTGGCTCCTGTGAATCTCCCTGCTTTGCATTTAATAGGCTTACTCATCACAGTCCTGACCACAGGTTACAGGAGAGAGAGGGCATGCTCACACCTAAGTGTGTCATGTCATTCCAATGCCTCTTCCACAACCATATGTAAAGAAAATGAAACAATCTCACCCCCCCACACACACACACACTCACAACTGTGCTTAACTTACTAGGAAAGATACCAGAAACTGAATTTAAGAGGAAACCTTTCAGAAAGTTCAGGAGAAAAGATAGAAAGAGGTAGTCATAGACAAGGGTCTTTTTACATAGTTCTGTTTGGCCTGGAATTCACTATGTAGACCTGACTAACTTCAGACTTACAGATTCCCTCTGCCTCTACCTCCTGAATTCTGTCTGGGATTAAAGGCATTTGCTACCTCACCCAGACTGGAGTTTCCCAGCCCTGGCCATACAGCTCTAGTGGGTGGAAGTCCCAGGCTCAGGTTTCTCAATATATATAAATATATATATATTTGGCTCAAAAGACTAAGACTCAGTCAACACACCACCAGATCACCACTAATGGCTGATGCATTTGATTTCTAAGTAACTAGTACAAAAGGAGACTTCATTAGTCTACTAGGAGCTGCAGTAACAAAGTGCCACAGGCTGGGCAGTTTAAAACAACTGATGATCCTCCCACCAATTTCCCAGCCCTGGCCACACAGCTCTATAGGCTACAAGTTCCAAGCTCAGGTTCCAGAAAGAGGTTTCTGGCATGTAGATGGTGTTCCTCGGCATGCCCTCATACATCCTCTTCTTGGTGTTGATATGAAATTGAGGAAGGAAGCTCTGCTGCCTTCTCACTTAAGAGCACTAACCTTCTCACACCAGGATCCTACCCCATGACCCTCTCCAACACCCTTTATCCACCCCCAGCCCCAGCTCCAAAGACTACCAAAGCAAGTGCTAAGACTTCAGTATATGAAACACAGCATTTGGTCCCTGACAGCCTTGCCAAGGAATATGAACCTACCAGAGGCAAATTATGGTCCTGGATGATGCATTTAGACTTGCAAAAATTACAAAGTAGCTTGAAGAGCTTATTCAATTACATTCGGTGCAAGGAGGAAGAAAATGGATGTTTGAAAAAAAGAAAAAGTGACCTTGGAACTTCTGGAGCCTCAGAAAGCCTGACCACTTGAATGGAAAACCCGGCTATAATTACGTACAGCCACGGTATCACCTCTTAATCACAGGCTCCAGGCTTTAGAAGTACTTGATCCATGAAGCTCCTTCACTTGTCTATATCTGCTTGGTAAGCGGACAGGGCAATATGCTGCTGTTTTGGAGCTGTGTCTCTGGAGCCCCAGCCTGGCTCACTGTTTATAAAACATCCTCCTGGGTTCTCAGGCCCGCAGCCCCTCTCTCATCCTGGACTTTTCCTTGTTCCTAAATGGAACCCCCACCCCCACATCTTTGCATTTCTGCTTCCCTCCATCTCCTCCAACTCCTGCTCAGCCCGATGATACCACCTTTACAGTTGGAACTGCTAGTTTCAAGTTTTGGTGGGAGGAAACAGAATTAATTTCCCCCCAAATAGCTTTTATTCTATGTATATCCATTGTGCATGGTACTGTGCTATGTAAGGAGTATTATTATACAGCACACTGAGCATGTTTCCCCAAAATTAGAATTTTTACCTTTAATGTCTATAATACATACCACGGATGCTTTTTTTTTTTAAACAAAGTCTCCAGTTTTCAGCCATTAATTAGCAGTATGAATTATGTGAAACTGTTTTCTCATATCTGTGATTGGATTCTGCAGATCCCAATCTTCATTTGGATATTAAAGAATCAAACAAGGGGTTCATGGCAGAAAGTAAAGAACTATACGATTCCCTCATGAGCTGTCACTGGCATCCTCTGGATACCACCCTGTTCAATATCCCCGATGAGCCCCACCCCACCCCCCCAATGTGAACAAGTATTCATTATGCCCTCCAACTGACCTATTAACTGTATCTTGCTTTGGGTTTGGAGAAAAAAAAATCCAGGAATGTATTAGATTCTGAATATATTACTTACTTTTTTTTTTTCTTTTTTTCTGGTACTGGGATTGAGTCCAGGGTCTTGTGTGTGTTAGGAAAGCATTCCACCAGGCCTCAAACACTTTATGTAAATATGAACTTCTGGGATTTCAGAGAGACTGACATGATGGAATATGGTGTAAATAAAGTTTACCAGCACAGCCATTCCAGGAAGTGTGCTATCTTAAATCTGTTCCGGAAGGATTCTCATGACTGACAAGGCAGAAGTTACAAGATGACATTGGATGATAGATTTTATAGAGATGGGTTTGAGCTCAAGGGTTGGTGGCCTTCGATGCTGTGTTTTGCTGACTTCCTGTAGCAGTACACTCAGGGGAGAAATCAGATGCACAGGGCATATAAAATTTCTCTTGGCATCCTGTCTGGAAAATGTCAGTTAGAATTAGATTCTCAATCTTCACTGGCCCTCAGGCTCTGTTTAAGGAAGTTGATTCCACAGTAGAAGGCAGTGGAGAATCACTCAACTGAACAGAAAGATTCCTAAGCATGGACAAAGTTCACCTCATCCACACAGCCAGATGGTTTTTCTAAGATCACTGCATTGGGACTTTTTTCAAGGCAGTTGTGAAGCTTCTGTGTGCATTGTGACTGCGTTCATGAAGTGGGAGTGGGGTAGGTGGAGAGATGGTTCAGTGCTTAAGAGCACTAGTTGCTCTTCCAGAGGCCCTGGGTTCAATTCCCAGCACGCTCATGACAACTCACATCCATCTGTAACTCCAGTTCCAGGGGATCTGGATGCCCTCCTCTGCCCTCTATAGGAACAGGCATATATATGGTGCATAAGAAAAGCACATACTCACAAAATAAGTTATAAAATCTTAAATAGGTTTTATTGCTCTCTGGTTTATTGCTTTGCCTCAAATAGACACTCAAGGGAGATCACCAGGCTGAGGTCATGGACTTGAAAGCTAAAAGCACATGTTTAAGAAGGTAGCTCAGGCCACACAAAGGGATGGGGCTTCACCTCTCCAAAGGTACTTAGTTCATGCTAAAACACACTGCACAGGCCTTCCAAAGATCCACAGAAGCCTGATGCAGTAGCTGCTGCAAACTAAGGGGGGGGGGGCAGGCTTCCAAGCCCCACCCTGTCACCATTTGCCATTTGAGCCCAGACTTTCTTTCCTGTAAGGCTTACCTTGAGCATTTTTCCTGACCTCTGCCACATGATGCCCATGGTACTCCTGCACTGTAATTTGACTAAAGTGTCCCAACACATAGCCAAATGCCCCCAAGGGTGAAACTGTGGCCTCACCTAGAAGAGAATGGTGGTCACCGGGCTTCAGGAAGGCGTGTTTAGACTGAATCAGAAAGATCACCCTAGGATTTGACAGTGAAATGAAAAAGACAGACACAAATCAGCAGGGCAAAAATTTAAATTTAGTCAAGCAGTTCTTTGTTAGAGAAATGACCACAAATCCATACTGTTTGCATGTTTGTTTTAAAGGAACAACCAATTTAACCTCATTTACATCCATCTCATATATAAATAAAATGGAGGGCTAAGGATGGGACTCTGCAAAGCGCTTGAGCAGCAGGCATGACACGGACTTGATCCCTGGCTCTCCGTAACCTGGGAATGATGGTGTATTCTTACATCCCAGCGCTAGAGGTGAAGGGGAAAACCAAGCAGACAGGCTCTTTTGGCTGCTGCTGTTTTGGTCGGGTTGAGTTTTTGAGACATGGGCTCACTATACAGTCCTGGGCTCCAGCTTTTTGCCTTTGCCTCCTAAGTGCTTGGAAAACAGAATTTTTAAAAATGTGGCTAAATGAAGCTAGAACAAGAGATGCTTTTGTTCTCTCTTGGCCTTTTGAGTTTGGCATTATACGTAGCTCAAGCTGGCCCAGAGCTAGAATCCATCCTTATCTCTCAACCTCCCCAGCGCTGGGATCATGGGTGTGAAGCCCTACACCTGAGTCCAGATAAGGACCGTTTACTATGTAAGCCTTCCTGTCTTTCTAGCAGGGATTCAGCTTTAAGCTTGAAAAACAAGTATTTAAGGAGACCAAGAGACAACCAAGGCATGCTGTGTCTTAGTAAAACTTACTTACACAAGCAGGTCAGATTTAGCTCCCAAAACACAAAGCCCCAAGTGGGTAGAAAGGCTCCCTCAGAAGGCAGGGGCCACATGGTAGCAACAGACTGTGAGAAGGGACCATTAAAGCCAATGGAGACAGACATGGTTCTAGGAGGGGAAAAAAAAAAAAAAAAGATTAACCAGGTGCTATGTGCTGTTTATATTGTGAATGCCTCTGGTGTGGAGAGAGAGGGAGGATTCTTGAGATCTGACTGACTACATTTTGAGTCACTGACTGTCAGGTCTACCAAGTCCTTGGGCCTGCAGGGAGTCCTCCTGTAGCAAGCTAACAGGCACCTACTTAATTGGTGCTGACAAACTCCTCCTACCTTGGAAGCAGGGTAGGTCATAGGTTACCAGCTGTGGATGCCATTGCTCTGCCTGTGACATCCAGGGCAGGCAGTGCTTCTGTGTGAGTGGAGAGGGAAAGCAGAGCTGTCTTACCCAACAACACTGATGACCGAGACCTGGAAAACTGCTCTTTACTGGTGCTGATACATTTTTGCTTTACTGAGAGAGAGGAAATCATTAAAACAGTAGGCTAGGATGGAATCCCGATTATCTGATGAGGCAAAGTTAGGAAGGTATGGACCAGCAGCCAATAGGTCCTTGCTCCCTGTGGGGAACTGGAGTCGATGTTTATGTGGCTGTGACCGAAATGCCTGAGAAAACAACCTTAGGACAGATGGCTTGTCTTGGCTCACAGTTTCAGAGGGTTCAGGCAGACCACACTTAGTTAGCTCCACACGCTTGAGCACGGTGGTCAAACCGAGTGACAGAGGGAATTCATCACCTCAAGCCAGACAGACAGAAATCGGAGAATGAGGAAGGAACTGAGGACCACAGATGACCTTTAAAGTCATGTCCCCAGTGGCATACTTCCTCCACTTCTGGCTTCTTAAAGTTCCCAGAACCATGTCAAACAGTACTGCTCTCTGGGAACCAAGCCACACACACACACACACACACACACACACACACACACACGCACGCACGCACGCACACACGCACAAATAAGTAAATGCATGAAAAAAGTTATTTTGTCTTTTGAGTTACTGTGTTCCAGGTTGGCCTTAAACTCTTAATATTTCTGCCTCAACCTCCTTTGAGCGGGGATTACAGGATTATGTGTCGCTATGCCTAGCAAAAGTTTTGTGGCAATAAAATATACATAAGGTAAAATTTACTGCATTAACTATTTTGATACATTTCAATAGTTTTTGTTTGTTTGGTTGGTTGGTTGGTTTTTGGTTTTTCAAGACAGGGTTTCTCTGTGTCACAGCTCTGGCTGTCTTGGAACTAACTCAATAGACCAGGCTGGTCTTGAACTCACCTGCCTCTGCTGGGATTATGCACCACCACTGCCCAGCTCAATAGTTTTAATACACATTTTATTGTATAATTATCACTACCATATATATCCTGACTTCTTTTTCCCATGATGAAACTCTATATCCATTAGACAATAGTTCCTTATGCTCTCTTTGTCTCTCCCCCACACCCCAGCCAGAATTTTCTTTCTGTAGTAATATACTTGCTTATTTTGGACTTTTCATGCAAATAGTATCATACAAACTGCTATTTGTGAGCTTTTGTGTTTGATGCAGTTTCAATTGGCATATTTTCAAAGTTCATCTATATTACAGCATATGGGGATTTATTTTTTCAGGCTGGGTAGTATTCTATTGAATAGACTTACCATATTGTATTCATTTATCCATGAGTGGGTATTTGGATTGTTTCTAACCGTTGGAATGATTATTATGATAATTATGAAATGGTAATTATGAATAATGTTGCTATAAATGCTTAGACATGATGTTCAAGCCAGGCTTCTTAAAGTCTGAGATGTGTGGGTGAGCAATATACACACATTCCAGAGTGACCCACTCTTTTGGGGGGGTTGAGACAGGGTTTCCCTGTGTACCTTTGGAGCCTGTTCTGGAACTAGCTCTTGTAGACCAGGCTGCTCTCAAACTCACAGAGATCTGCCTGCCTCTGCCTCCCGAGTGCTGGGATTAAAGGTGTGCACCACCACTGACCGGCCCAGTGTGGCCCACTCTTGATGTCTGATAGAAACAATATGGAGGAAGAAGACATGAACTGTTTCCAGGGACCAGGCAGATGTGTTTTAGGCCATGATTTCCCAAACCATGGTATATGGAACATGTGAGTTCTATAAAGAGATGGACTGCTTAAAACAGAGGCAGGATGCTACATTTAAATTCATCCGAGAAAGGTTGTGTTTTTTCTCTGCTTGTTTTCAGGTGAAAGGCTCTGACAATGTGCCATTTCTAAGCATTTCCCCAATGGACCAGGTAAGCTCCTTTACCTGACACACCTAGTTGGTACTGGAGTCTACTAAATTCATGTACTGAAGGTGTGCTCTGCAGATGGGATGGGCTGTTGACTATGACGACACTTGACCTTAAGTTGAATGTAGACATGAGGCCATAAGTAGAAAGTTCTCTGGCAATGTGGCAGGACCACAGAGTCCAAGCAGCATTGCACTTTCTAATAATTTACTTCCTTCTGTTTTAAAACAGCACAATTCCAAAACTGTATTAAATAAAATACCAATTCTCCATCCTCTCTATTCAGAGAGGAAAGTAGCCTAGAGGCATGTGCAGACATTTGAATTTCATGAGTTGGAAACCATAAAAGAAGACAACCATTAATATATAGCAGCCAACTGCTTTCCCCTTTAATTAAGACTTGCACTCTGTTCCTTCCATTTTACATTTAAATATGACATTTTTTAAAGGTTATTTTTAGAAACAGGGTTTCTCTGTGTAGC